TTCTTTTCTGTCTGGAGGAAGTTGTAGTAAATTCTTTCGTACAGTTTGGACGAAATTGACGGGGGAAAATTGAGGAGAGGAGAAATGAATCCCGTGAGGAAACACGATTACAGAGAATCGAAGGGAATTGGACGGTGGATATTGTTTGGTTGCTGACAAATTTTTCGTCCAATTTCATTCGTCTCGGAGGATTAATGTTACGTTAAAATTTGGGATAATTTTGTTCCATTCGAGGAAATCATTTCGGACTGTTTCGTCTTATAACGTGGAACGAAGAGAAATTTCGGCGCACTTTCTATTTCGATCTTCGCGGAAGAACTTCGTTTATTGAAGTTGGGGCGTTTAACATTGAACTAACTGAATTTATTTTCAGCTGTGCCTCGAGGGAGAGAGAAAGGTAGCTTCTGCTGCTGAAAGTCCATTTAGTCTACGGTTAATAGACGGGTCTTTACTTTTGGAGAATGGAGAAATAATCAAGGAAGCCGAAGACTCAATTGTTTGAGTCGACCATAGAGTTCTGTGGTGAACCTTGGAGAATTTTCAACATTGTTCATTCGTTTCTTAGAAAAGTAATCTTCCTTGAGGAACCGCCAGACCAACAGGATATATTCGTAGCAGCAGCGAATATTTCGAGGTGATAGATTCACGGCAGTGCAATATACAGTTAATAAATATTCGAACGCTGTATAAACTTGCCTTTCTAGTGATATATTTCCATTAATTATGAAAGGATAGTGTCGATGCTTTTTCGTTAGAAAACATTATTTATTGCACTTTAGCATTACGTATCGTTAGTTTAATGCACTTTCGTATGTGACATTGCAATGCAAATTAATATTAATTACATCCAATTAGCAAAACTGAGCACTTAGTAAAAATGAATATTTTTAATATTCATAATATTTTTGCCTGCGCCCTGTTTTATCAGTGTCTGAATATTGGTGTGCTCACACCACCGCGAAAAATTTCCACCAAGACTGCGCTGTGAATTTATTTCGCCCTCCGAGTCGTTTTCTTCGCTGCCACTTTGAATTCACGACGTAAAAGCAATGACAAACGTAGAAAAGAAAGTTGCCTCTGTGAATATTTCGTGTTGTTCTAGGGGTTCCTTCAACCCTCCGAGTACTGGAGCCCAGAGTCCTGTGTCTTTATAAATACGTCGTATAAAATCTTGTAAAGAGCGAGGACACGTCGTCCTGCACGCTTTCCGCGCAAAGCAGGCCTGAGAAAAACCCCAGGGACGAGTCACCCCTTCGCGTATAAGCTGAGCCTAGTCTCGAAAGGTCCCATTGAAATCATCAATACAGGTTTCAGCGACACTGTTTTCAACTGTTGATAACAACATTAACCGACAACACACTGCGCGGACAGTAATACACGTAACAGATAAATCTTTGAATTGAACGTTTTTCCTAATATACTACAAATATTGAGGAATTAGAGGAAAATGACAATCTTTAACCCTTCGACAGTTTATCCCGAGTGAGACTCGGGCAGTGCGTTAAATAACGAACAGTTCAACTCGTGAGAGACTTTTAGGAAGACAGTTAAAAAGGGACGAGATATTATTATTAGAACTGTGACGTAGGGTTATGTACACTGTGCTTTAAAAATTTAAAAATAATCACACACGACGTAATTATTAAAAAGATACGTGTAAAATATGAATTTTATTCACTCTAATTCGGAATCATATTAGACTGTCAAAGGGAGCGTGAGACATGATTATGCATTTATTTAGAAAAGTTTCAACAATAAGGGAGTAGATTAACCCTTTCGCTGCAGCAGATTTTAATGCGTGACATGGGTGATTGACGGTAAATTTTTCACCACGGCTGCGAAATTTCTTATTTTGGCTGTATCGTTTTAAAATTCCGTTAATTAAAATTAAAGTGGACGTGCACCTTACGTAATTTTCAAAACGCCTATAGACGCCAATAGTAACGAAAGGGTTAAACTGATAACTAAAATACATATGTATATTGCTATGTTTATACATATATGTAGGTATTATTAACACAAATTTTTAGAAACAAACTCAATATTGAAGACCAGAAGAGTACGTTGGAGTCTCGGTTATCCGAATCCCGTTTAATCGAAGTTCTCCATTATCCGTGCTTTGACTTTAAATAGAATTAAAAAGTTATATTTCTTTTTATAGCCGATAGGTATTCCTAAATCATAAAAATCATTTTGATAATGTAATATTGTACATATATTTAAATTTAATTAATTACTTCATTGATCAATAGTTAATTAAACTTAAATACATATACTATTTTACATTCTCAAAACTATTTTTATGATTTTATTGCGCGATTTATGAACACCCATCGATCCTTCCGTATTATCCCAATTTTCGATTATGCTTGGTAGTATTACATAGATGGGTTACTTATAGGGGTGGAGAAATATGTTGAGAATGTATAATGACGTTTTGTTTGCGCGGAGCCTTTGTTCCCATGCGAGTTGAGGTTGCAAATTGATCGAGGTGTGGGACACGGTTGCAGTAGCAGGAAAAGAATCTTTTATATCGTTGAACGGTGATTTTTAAGTAGCAAGATACTTTTATTTCACTGTTCATCTTTGAAACTTGAATGCACACATTGTTGCAGTCTCTATTCTCGAATGCAACATCGATGGAAGCACTATTTCGAATGCAAAACATTGTTGCACGCGTTACTTTTGAATGCAAAATTGCTTGAAGCATTCTATTTGAACGCACATATTGTTGGAATCTCTATTTCTGATTGCAACATTACTAGAAGCGTTATTTCGAACGCAAACATTATTACAAGCACTACGCTTGAATGTAACATTGTTACAAGCGAGAATAACGCTTGTAACCGTATCGTTAACTCGTATTATTTTCGAATGCACATTGTGGCAAACGTGTCATCGGGTTTGCAACTTTGTGTCGCGCGCGCGATCCACGAAAAAACCGCAATGTTGCAAGAGGAGGGATCGGGGGTTTGCAACTTTGTTGCCGCGAGCCTGTCGCAAAACGTTCTCGAAATGCACATTGCTGCACGAGGCGCCGTTTTGCAACATTGTGCATTTGTTCGAAAACGATTCGCTGCAACAAAGTTGCAAGCGCGATCCCGCCTTTTGCAACTTTGAGTCGCGCGCTCGCGATTCGCGAAAAATTTGGATTATATTTACGTATTGACTTATTACTTATTATCATTAAGCAAATATGCTCCAATTTATATCGTGTTTGGTATCATTTTTATCAGAAAGATGTGACAAATATGTTGGTAAAAATTTCATTCGTTACAAATCAAAAGTAAGAAAGTTTGATTTTTGAGTTAAAGGTCTCGGCTTATTCGTTTGTTCTCAACTACTTTAATACAGAGAACGTTCCAGAAAAGATATTAAAGATTTTCAGAGATAAAATTATGCATTGCAGCTACAAACTTGCTGAAAGGTGGGCGGGAAGCAATCCGACAAAAGAATGATTTTTAACGCATGCAGTGTCGCATGATTAGAAAAAGAAATAAAATTTGAAGAGTTACAAAATGGTATGAAAGAAAATCAGAATAGATCTTCAAATTCTTTATGCGGTCGTAAGAAACATTCTTTTAACGATAGCAGCAATAAGACCAAAAAGAGATCGATACAAAAGTAAATAGAGAATTAATTATATCACCGTGTATATGAAAGCGTCACGCCTAGACGGAGAGCGTAGCAGAGGGTAAGACAGAGAAAAACGTAGGCGATTAAGTGGAGGTTTGTACGTTCTAGCCCTGCCTTAGGCACGTCCCATGCGCGAAGCGAGGTTATTCTTATTTTGAACGAAGTGTAGGTACGCTTCACATCGCTTCCGATAATCGAGACTCTACTGTATACAAATCCTAACTATTTTTACAGACTTGTTGTTCGTCAGTTAATACTGTTATCGGTTAAAGCAGTTGTCGGTTAATGTTGTCGATTAACGCTGGTGTCAAAGAAAACAGAGTCGGTGAAACCTGTGTCGGTGATTTCAATGGGACCCGTCTCAAGTGTTTCGTTTCACAATCTTCAGAACAGATTTTCTTACAATACTTCCATCTTTTCGATGCACTTTTCACAAATGCACTCCCATCGTATCGCAAATTGTATATCGCTCTAGTTAGCCTATGGCTCGATCGCTGAACGTTCAAACGCTTGAGCGATTTTTTTCGCCGAGTATGCCACACGCAATTACGAATTAAATCGTAAGGCAAAGGGTTAATCTTACTGTCTCCGTTTCCTCCATTAAAAAGTAATCATTTTTCACCGTTTAGACGACGTTTGAAAAGAGTCTAACTGAAAGGGGAAGAAAGGTCTAGACTCTAGATTCCAGAGATAGAGAAGACAAGCATTTTCCGGTACCTGTGTCGGCTAGAGAAGGAAGAGGGAAGGCCAGCGGGTGTCTAATTCCAGGCTAATTACGTTTCTGTCGTCAAAGGGGCGGTCTAAATTCGTTATTCGGGCGTCAAGCACCGCCACTATCTACCGGCGATGTAACACAAATCGAGCATTTTCCCGTAAAACAGTTCCTCCTGCCTTTCCCTTCCCTCCTCCTTCCTCTAATTCCAGACAATTGTCGTCTTTGTGTGTTTCAATTAGCATCATAATGGTGTACAGTCGTTGACTGCAGGCATCGTGCGCGTTTAATTCGTAATTTGCAATTGTAGAAATTGAAATGACTAAACCCTAAATTAAGCGTCCTTCTTTCTATTTTATCTTTCGCAGGATAAAAGTAGAATTTGCCAGATTAACCTTGTTAGCAGTCTCGTTAGAGACGAACGCCATCTTCCGTAATCTGCCATGGATCCCCCCTTTTCCTTGTAAATCCAGAATGGAAAAAAAAGGAATTCTCGGATTTTTTCAATTACCAGCGAACCGCCAGTTACGGCGCGTAAATCTGCGCGTTCCCAGGAGTCATCTAAAAATAAAATGAAAAAAAAAGAACGATGCGATTCAACGATGTTTCCCTTTTTTCTTTTCTTTTCCATCTTCTTCTTTTTTCATTACAGGAGCTGGAATTGAGAATAGAGACGCAGAAGCAGACCCTGCAAGCACGAGATGAAAGCATCAAGAAGCTACTCGAGATGCTCCAAAACAAGGGGATGGGTGAGGCATTCCATTCAAATTCTTTTCTCCTACACAATCGCCGTCATTTTTACTAATTAACGTCTCATTCATGCTACAGTGGCATTCAAGGCAGTTTCTGCGAAGACAGAACTGAAGTGAGAACAAGAAAGATTCGTGTAAACGCCTAGCTTCTTTAGATTTAATCATATCTGTGTCGTTGAGAAACTGTTCAGAAAGGAGGGGTATCAAGTGTTGATACTTTGGGAGCCAGTATTTTTCGTGAATTTTTCATATACATTTTTTTTCTTCGACCTAAATGTGTGTAAATATATCTTTGATCGTTCAACAGTGTGCTATAAAATTGACTAAAAATTGTTCAAACATTTTTGCATTAATTCTGTGTTAAAGTTATCGATATATTGTTATCAAATTAATTAACTCTGTTTCCCTTATTTTTTTATTTAATAACATTCCACTGTTTCTTACTACTATCGCACGAAGACGCCAATTTTTTGCTTTTCCTGGTTCCAAAAGTGTTCAAACAAAATTCGTGAAATTACATTCAAGCGAAATGTTCAAAGTGACTCATTTCAGTTCTGAGATCATTCAGTATCCTTCACCAGAGTATCTCATCTTCTAGTAAACAGTATGTACGAGCATTCCGCAAAATACCGAACTGCATCATCTACATCATAGGTAGCATTCTAGCAAAAACGAGAAAAAAAAAAGAACCGAGACCTCTGTAACTTCAGTTAGCAGCGCCAAACTCCTTAGAAATCATCGAGCAAAATGAATCTCTCTTATAACATTCGAAGCGATCAAATATAGCTGAGCATCTCCCCTTTCGTGTACTTTTTTTTTTTCTCTCACAAGAAATATGCCCCCCGCCCGCCACTTGAGAAGAGATTATTCGTCGATTAACGAAAAATCCCACGAGACCTTTGAGCAGCGTGAAACCATGCACCGTTTTTACACGGGGGCGAAACACACCAGGCCGAAAAACTCGCTGCGTGAATTGAAAAGAAAAAGCCTGGCCAGCGTTCTCCGATTCGTCGAAGTAAATAATTGTCCCGCGAAACGACTATTCCGCGTGTAATAATCAGTGAAAGAGGGTGCACGTAATACAGGTGAAAAGCAGTTACAAAGCTCTCAAAACCCACCAATTCTCTCTCTCTCTCGCTCCAACCCAACCCCAATTCCCGCCCCTCTTACTTTTTACCATTCCGTGATTTCTACGCAAACCGCCTCGACTCAATTATCCGCGAACGAAAGTTTCGCCGTGCTGACGGGTAATTGTGTAGCGTAAACGTTCACCACCGGAACGAGCAAATATAGCAGGTGAACTTTATATATCGTTGCTGGACGCACGAAAATATCGCTCTGTGACCCAGATACTTACGTTTCTATTATAGCTAACGACGTTGGTTCCATCGTTTGACTGATGCGAAGTAACCGATAGAGAAATTGTTTAACCGATCAGTTAGGTATCATCATAAAAAATCATTGACTGCGACGAATAATAGTAAAGTGACACGCGTGTATTGTTGTATTGAAAAAAAAAAAATGAAAAAAAGACAAAAAAAGAACACACACATACGGAAAGCTGCAAGCACAGAAGATTAAAAAAAAAAAAAA